CCGAGGTTGCTTCTTGTTCATTGTGGTTTGGATAAGATTGTCGAGAACACTCCCGAGGCTTATCTCAATGCTATGGTTGCCACTTGGATTGCCGACGAGTTCGTCTACTCTAATGGTCTACAGACTAGCGAGTTCGGCTTCTTCCAGTTCATGCGCTCGCTCGAGGAAAAGTCCGAAGGTGAGGTTACCCCTTCTACTATGTGATTTACTGAAACTTTCTAAAAAGCTATATAGGGCATCGTACATCTGTTGCCGCCGAATTTTTTTCTCAATACTTCGAAGATTTTTCTCCATGTCTTAACGGGATTACCTGTGATGAACGCAAGCTATCTTGTATAGTATTATTCAACTTCCGATTTGGCTAGTCTGATTTTGATGTTGTGTCGAGTCCTTGGGTGGGGATATAAGTCGTCTCGTCGGGTAACTCCAGCAAGTCCACGTGTCTTGTATTGCCGTTGCATGCAGGCATATACTCTACTACCCCTACATTGGGGTGACAGTGTCACAGTATTGAACCGCGGTTCGGTCCTTGGGGGTTGTCGGGCTATATGTCCTTCAAATACATGTTCATGTTTGGTAGATTAACTGTCAAGGAAACGATTTTATCGTGAGTGGTTTATGCTAAGACGCAAAGTTCAACTCAGGGGGCAACAGGGCGCAGACAGTGAGAATAGATCCACAGTTTCGAAGCTTCGTTATGGTAGAAATACGTGTCTCTCCGAAAAGAAATAGTACGAAGCAACAACCTAAGTGATCAAGTCATAGTTCGTCCCGGCATAACACATAGTATCATGGCATGGCACGTGAGTAATTGGCGCTGCCACATCCCTGCGAGTCCAACTTCAAAAGGTCTGTCGGCCACTCATCACTTCAGCGAGTGTGTGTTTGAGAGTATGTTCGTTTGCCAGTATTTTCTCGAATGGATGGCCCAGTCGAGCAGTTTCTCAACACAGGTTTATATACGCAAGTGTGGCTGGAGTGAACAGATCTCGCCGTTTCCAACTGAATCTTTAAAGAGTGATTTGCAGTGCTGCTCATGGTATGTGCCTATTATCGCTGAAAGTATGCAATG